TCTCCACGTCTTGCAAAACTCTGGTATTTGCATCTCCAACTTTCTCCACCACAACTTCCTTAATTTTGTCTACTCTCCAGCACACTCTGCGGATACAATTCGCAGGTCTTAGCACAATTCCAGAGGCTCAGGTCTACACCTGGAATGTCAACTTTGCATCAACCTCAGATCCCACGGACTAGTGGCAGAGCCACTGGGTGGCCAGGCAGAAACCAATGTGGACTGAGATGGGACTGCAAACTAATGGGAGCCAAAACCGGTTCAGGGTCAATCTATATTTATCACACTGTACCAATAGAGAAATAAACACAAAATCTATCTTTTTCAAATAAATCGCTGAAGAGAGAGTAGAATCTTATGAAACTGCTAAATGGATACATGCACATAATGACACATCTATGCTGGCTTCTCTAAATATTCATTGTTCTTTATCTCTAGCATAATTTTGGATCAAAACACAAATATATGAAATGTTAATTTAGTTCAGACCTTTCATGTAAAATCATCACTGCTGCTCTGTCTAGTAGCAGAGATATGTTTTAGAGATAAACAGATTTTTTTCTGAAGGAGTTGAATTATGTCCAAACAAGAACATCTCATCTGCTAGGAGTGGCCACCCCTTCACCCTGCCCCTGCCACTTATTCTTCCCTGGCAGACCTCCATCCACTACTCAGTAATCACTCATTTGCAAACTTGTCACTTAATCCAGTTTCATGAACTCATCTCTCCACCTTCGGTGTTTTGGGATCCTGTCCGTCGGGTTCTTTTCTCTCCCAGGATCAGAGATCTACCCTTGCAATAACATTTTTCATGTTAAATAAACCTTAAAACCTTCAACTGAGTTCTGAGTGTTCATGCATTTGGTTTAGATGCTTACCGTAAACCATGACAGTTATGAACCCAAATAAGAATCATAATGTTTTTAAACGTATGTAGGTAAGTTTTCATATTCATTATCTTCCACTTACCTTGGACTGGGTCCAGGGGCCAGTCTCAGCAGAGATGTCCAGACTTTCCTTTACCCACTTCCTCTCGCTCCTCTAGGAAAGTCTGAGGCATTCCAGGACCAGTAGAGAGACATAGTCCCACCAGTGTGCCTTTGGCCATCCCCTCAACCTTATCCCAGTGGGTAGCCAAGCTCCTCACCCTATCTCTAAGGGAGTTATAGCCACCCTGCAGGGAAAGTTTATTTCAGCTGCTTTTACTTGGGATCTTTCTTTGGTCCAGATTCCATGGCCATAGATGTGAATAAGAATGTATACAGACTGAAAATTTGAGAGCCTTATCTTTCTCTCAGCTCTGTCTTCACCACAACAAACCAGTGCAACGTCCACATCACCACTGGAGCTGCACCGAGCCATCTGTTGACCTCCCCCATGGACTCAGAAGAGCTGATCTTTCCCTCAGCTGCTTTATACTTGGCTACAAACTGGCACAGCGGTTTTCAAGTCTCGGCAGGAAATGGCCAGCAGAATCAGGTCCTCCCCAAAAATTTAAGAAATCTGCTGTTCCCCAAACCAGACTACAACCTGTTCAATTTGTACAGATGCCAGATGGCCCCTCGTGAAGTGCCACTGATTCCATATTCCCTGGAGTGCCCTTCAAAAGGCACCATGAGGGACACTGTTGAACTACTTTTTCAAGTCCTCAAAGCACATGTGGACCCACTAGGAAAACTCCCATTAACCCTCAAGCACCCTTCACAGTGTAGAACTGGTCTAATATTCCATGGACGGGATGCAAACTACAATGCTCCTTCTGAAGCCAATGTTTAACAATTAACCAGAGACTCTACACTCTGGCTGGAGTTGGAACACAAACCCTCCTTTATATGAAGGGGTAAAACCACTCCGGTCTGCCAGTCCAGGGGCACTGGCATACAATGTTTAAACCACAACAGCCTGACAACATTCAGACACCATATGTACTCAGAGCAGATCTAATCCACTCTCGAAGCCTTGCCACTATGAAGTTTTTAAATAACTTCTGTGACTTTGGCTCTGGATGGTGAACAAGTCTGTCTCTGAGCATTCAGTCCCTGCCTCTACTAGGAAGCCATGACAACCAGTTTGAGGAGATCCTTAAAGTAGTCCTTTAACAGCCTAACAATGTCTTCAGTCATAATCAGCACCTGTTAATTCATACTATATTCACTGTTTGTGAAGCACTCCTTCCACCTCCAGAGGTGCTGGACAGTCACTTTGAAGCCAACTTTCTTCAGGATATCTTTGAACTCATCCCAGGCCAGAGTTTTTGCCTGTGCAACCACCAGGGCAGTGGGTCAGTCGGCATCATAGTTGCCGTTTGCTCCCTCATGGACCCCCAGAAGCCTACCAGGTTTGGTAGGACTCCTTTAGCTTCACAGCAACTATTAGGGGGGTCATATTGACAATAGAGGCATACAACATGGTCCACTCAGACTCCATGACCCCAACCACCCCTGGATTCCGAGAAGAGTGCTCCTAGAGCTGCGAGCTGAATACATGCATATGTACATGACCGAGGGCTCCACCAGACATTCCCAGCAGACCCTCACTACTTTCTCTGGCCTTCCAAATCTGTCCTCTTCAAGCTTATCTAATTCGCCACCACGTGATGAACTGACCCTATTGTTTACTCGAGTGTCCAAGTGTCCATGACATGCAGCTAAATGTCAGTAGATGTGGTTACAAAATCGATTACAGATGTCTTGCCTAGGGTGTTCTGGTGTCAAGTGCAACCCTTATACTTAAACATGATGTTCATTGTGGCTAATCCTTGACTTGCATCAAACTACAATAATAAACTACCACCTTGAGCCTTGGGTCTTCACGATCACTCTCCTTCAGCTATCACTGTCTTTTCTGACATGGGCACTGAAGTCCCCCTGTAGAATGATAGTGTCCCTGAGATGGGTACTAACCAGCACACCAACTTGAAGGCCTGGTACCCTGTGCCAACGCTTGGCTTAAAGCCTGTGACAACAGCTACAGTTCTCTCTCCCACCCAAAGGCACTAGGTGCACTCTGACATGAGATGGCTAAGGTATTATTGGAGTTAGTGATCCAAACTTCCATGAGAAATTGGTTCTGACAGTTTCTTTTTTTTAAGAGTATGCAGACTTTAAACCTGGTTATGTAGAATGCATAGAATGCATAGCGGGTTTGTCACCAATAGGAGCAAAGTACAAGTGAAGTGCGTGAAAGATCTCTATCAAGAGTTTGCCCCAAAACATACTTTTTCTTTACAAAACACATATTTTTCTGCTTTGCTCCAGAGGATAAATGGTTTCAGAGAAAAAAAATCTGACACATGAGGCTGATTTTCAAAACTGGAAGCCTGGTTTTAATTGATATTGCTCTACAATAATAATCCTGAAAGGCATAGTTTGGAGTAACACATGTAATGTTTAAACCCATAATAGTTTAAGTTACAGAATCATAGGTCTCTCTTTTTGCAATGAACAATATATACAATGTGAAATAAATACATTTACACAAATGGACATTATTGTTGGAGCACAATCGTATGATACACGTCACAAAAAATATACAGGTTATTGGTCTTCTTTTTCCCCCTTCTATTTATTGATGTGAAACACATCTAAAATCTACAAACATGTTCTCAGTAATAGTAGAAGGTCTTTATCCGGAATTTTTCTCCTCCATTCAAGTGCCTTGCTATGCTTGAAAATCAACTATTTTCCCCAAAGTTTCTCTCTCCCTTAAATGTTCTCACTTTTGCTAATTCAGACTGGAAATATGTTGTAGCACAAGTGGCAGTTACATTTCTTGGGATTAAATATATCTAAATAACAGAGCTATAGATTACAAAATTTTGGTCTTTGTAGATTTTAAGATGTCGGATAATGAATCGTGATTTGCCAATATGGGTCAATTAGTTTCCCCCTTGCTTAAGGGTAACCCTTCTAAAATATTAAAGTATTGGTGGTTAATTTGTCTAAGCATCCAATTAGAGGAACAAGATGTTTCCCACAGTGCAAACTAGTCAAAATCTTGGTATAACCAGCCCAACAAAAAACCTAGATAGTTCATCTTCCACTGCTCTTTGTGGAAATACCAGTTTTGGTGTTGGTAATTCATGTAGATTACATCTAAATTCAGAAACCTAATAATAAAACACATATCACTGTTTGGCTTTACAATGCAACACAAAAAAATGTGTTACTTTAGAAAAGTTGTCATACATTGTCTTGAGAATAATACTAACAAGAAAAAAGTGCATAAGGTAAAATATTAAACTCCACAAATTGTGGCTTTCGGTTTGATCAAGTTATCTTAATTTGCCATAATAAGGGTCACCAGTGTAAACCATTTCCAGGTACAAGCACATAGATTCTGTTCAGCCTTTATCACCTATTCAACACCCTTCAGCATGTTGAACAGGTCAGGAGTTCAAAGGGCTGCTTAAGACAATTGACAAATAATTAAAAAAAACAATAGTCAGAAGAGATATCTCCATACTCTGTGTGGAATAATGTACAGTGGACTGCATTTAACACAATTTTCCTGACAAGGGGACAGTGGTCAAGAATATTAAAACTTACAAACAAATCAGGGAAATCAACTTTTGTACCATAGAACTTTAATTACAAGTCTTTTGTCTATGTTTAGCAAATTTCACTGTCTTAAAACAACACATGATATAACAGTGGTAATGGTGTGATTTTAAACATGTGCCTTTGCGGTTTAAATTTTTCTGGGCTATACCATGTCTCCACAATGCCATGGATGTCTGGGGAAGTAGTAAGATTTCTTCATTAGGAAAAACAAAATTCTCCAGTTTTTTTTGTTGGTTTTTGCTACTTTTTTCATCTGAAAGGGCAAAAATAATGACTGAGCTGAGCTTTACATAGGGCAGTTATGTACAGTGTTTGTAAAAAAAAAAAAAAGTTTTACCTATTAATTACTCCAATGTCCTTTAATTTCAGCTTAATTTTCCTAAACATATACAGTATATTCTACAGGAATGTTAAACAAATTATTCTTTTTTTTTTTAAATATTTGTTAATGCGTTTCTTCATTTAGATACATGATATTAAATTATTCGTAGTTTGGTAGAGATGAATGCTGTAATTTGATCCTGGTAACCTAGTTAAAAAGCCTTATGTCATGTTTGTTTCATTATGAGAAACTCCAGTGCCCAGACCCCAAAGGATTGATAGGACAAAAAGACAAACAACATGGCCTCTACTCTGCGCTGTTGTCTAAAGAAGAAGCACACAGCACAAATCACCACAAGATAAATTACACAGCAACGTCTTAAGAAGACTCTCAACACATGAGGAAAGAAAAATTAGAGACAACTTACAAATTAAAACTAAATAAATAAAAGACAGAGCTCTTTTTCTTGACAGGAAAAACAGCAAACATGAAACACAGAAGCTGAACTACATTTTTTTCCCACAGTTTTTCTTCATTTTTTAACAATAAAATGTGTAATGCTAGAATTATTATCTGCATAATTTACAATATACAGCAAGTTTAAGAAGGTTAAGGAAATCCCCCTTACTAAAAATACTGATCATGGATACAGGACATGTTGTTAGAGGTGAGCTACACAAACTGCTGCACTTCTCAGCTGTGAAATGTTGCCATTTTACAGAAGATTACAGTGTCATCTACAATAAATATTTTGGCATTCTTATTTGGCTTTAGAAATTACATACAGTAAAAGCAAAACAAAATAATCCTAAGGAAATGGCAACTGTCTTCCCATTAAAGCTGTGATTAGTTAACCACGCGATATGCATCTTGTTCCCGATCTGAAATAGGATACCTTCTTTTATGAGTTTATAATAAAACCAAACAGTTTTTGCCCTTGCTACTCAAATACTTTCTTCAAGAGAAACAGTGAATTTAGATAAAAAGAAAATATTATATATAGTAAACAAAATGCTGTCGTAAAAATGTATTCCTCATTTTAAACCATCAAAAGCTACAGTATAGCTTAGTTAGATAAAATAACATCTTAAATTACTATTCTAAAAGGCCTTAACAGTCCAGGTTATACACAAGTTATGAGGCAGATTTAAAGGATGAGCCACAAGCTAATTAGGTTAGCCAGACAGGAGGCACGTCAATGAATATTAGTAAAAACGCATTTGATAAACTCTCCCGATTCCCTTTTGTCTATAGGCCTATTATTTTTAACCATCTATACCTTTCAGTTTATTTGCATTTATACTGAATTTTAGTATAGTAATACACTTTTCTTTACAAGAATGAAGCTAGCAAGCACAGATTTTAATTCAATCCAAGTAAATCTACTTTCCAACGTAAAAAAGGGTCTCAAGGTTTTTATGTCGTCGTATTTGTGACCTTGTTAAGCAGTTTCACTTAATGTTCAAATTCCACAGGTAAATGTATATAAATATCAATAACCATCACGTAACTATGCCTCAATTTAGATTTTAATTGTTACCAAAACAGGATTTAGCAGCAACTTAAAGGATAAAGTTGAAGTTTTATGCAAAACAACTATTTAAGGGATTAATCCTCCCCACCCCACCCCCATGCTGTTAGTCTATGACAGCGAGTGAATAGTATGTGGACATGAATATGACACAATCCAACTGATGTTTCTTTTTTGCTAGCACCAATACTTCAACAAGCAAACTTTAATTTAATGCACTTTCTTGGCTGATTCCAAATAATTTCTACTAATGTTGAAAATTTAGACTGATGTTTTATTTGTTAGTTTCAAAGAAACTTTGTTGCCTAAATCTCATGATATCTATCCAAAAAGATTCAAAGAATAGTGCATGCACCAACATTAAATTGGTAGAATCCAAAACCAAATCCAGCATCTTGCCCAGGATATCCTGGTTGATCTAGCTTACAAATAACAGTCTGCATCAAATTTAGGGTTGAGTTTCTCCAAACAGCTAATAAGTTATACAGAGATAAAGAGAAGCAGCAATTTTTTTTAACATATTCTTTCCCAAAGTTCAGACTGGCACAATAAGTTAATACTGTGGGCTCTTTCCAACTACCCAAATCCTTACATTAAAAACCACTATTGCTTAGTGTTTTAAGAGAAAATGATTTGTTTATAGAGTATTACTTGTGATATTTGTTATATATATGTGAATATGTTGAAAGTGGTTAGGCTCATGGAATGAAAAGACATTGACTTATTCAGTTATAAGAAGACAATTTTAAAATAAACCAAAGCTGGTTTATATGTCATATACATGAAGATAATATTTACAACACCTAAATTTGTATCGTTATTATGATTCTTAAGTGAAATTAATGAAAAGAATTTCAAAGCAACAACAGTTGTCTTAAGGTTAGTTAATTAGGCAAACGTTTCCTTCTGATTTTTGTATTTTGTTCATAGACTGAATCTTATGCTACAATTCCTGAGTGAGTCACAAAAATCTGTCTGCACTGCTGCAAGAAAGTAGATAGGAGTTGTGAACACTTTAGGGTGAGGAGAGTTCTGCTGAGGTGAGACTTTGGAGTGTGGAAGGTAATCTTGGGCCAGACCATTTTTAACTGAGAGAGTGAAACTGGTGCAAGCTTTGTATGTGGAGAGCTCAATTCCTGGCTGTTAATCAGGTAAAAATATCTCAAACAAATGTCCAAACATAAGAGGAGTGAATGACACACTATATAACCAAAGAAAAAGTCAACTGTTCAAAATATATTTTAGGAAGACAGCTTTGATTTGCAAAGTTGATCATAAAATTTAAGTGTTTAGAATTAAATGTAGTTTTGCAGAACAACACCTGCCCTTTTTAATATAACTTTCAGATTCTTAACAACACAAACACAGCTGAGATTTTTGGTTGACCAGAATCAATCATCTGCACAAAACAGCAGCAACTTTTCAAGTGTTACTGAAAAAAGGGAGCTGATTGTTACAATGGTTGTTTCCATCCAAGGTCCCAGCAACAAGTATACATCAGGACCAGGACTGGAATGCACCTAAAAACAGAACAGTGGGGTAATATGACTGTAAAGCTTGCTGGCATCCTCTGAATGGGTGGTTCCATTCTTTGGCAGGGGAAATTTCCTCTTCTCCTCTTTCAGTTCATCCATCCAAATTAATCTGTACATTTGCACTTACAACAAAATCTCAGTAAGTGTTGATTTTTTCCCACTCAGTTGTTCTTGAAATAAAAAAAAACAACAAAATTTTAAATGAAAAAGGAGTAGGGAACGAAAATTTAGGTACAGTCAGAGTTTTCCAGAGCTAATATGGAGTGTTTTATTGTCTGTAATATGTCCTCAATTGTTTTGGATTCACATTTCAACTCGATACATAAAAGTTCTGTCACAAAACTGATTTCTGTTGGGAATTGTTTGATAGATCTTAATAAGTGCCTGTTCTGACGAGTCTTTCATTGGTTATGGGGTAGGGTTTGAGTACTTCAGTCCCTGTCTCCATCCAAACAGATTCCATTGAATGCTGTTCAGTCATCAACTAGTGCTTTAGCATTCTGGGATATAGGTTTGATTGATTCTGTAGGGGGGGTGTCAGCCAAAATCTTTAAGAATTTTTCTTTGTGTGTGTTTGTATTTCTGCGTATGCAATATAAGAGTATCTGCATGTAAAAGAACAAGAGGTCATTCAAAGTTGTTGATCAAAGTTTGACTTGAAGCTCACATTGGTCAGACTGATGTCTATTTGTCACTCCGTCCAGTTCCAGCACTCAGACCTTTGCTTCCAGCAGCTCCAAGAACAGTTTGTGCATTGGAACCTTCCCATCCTGCTTGATACTGTAGAAATGCTGTACAGCCTTTGTTGAGGTCTGACGGAGTAAGGGGAGAGTCATAAGCAATTTGCCAGCCCGGCGGGGATCCTCCTGGTGCTGGGAGGCCTCATAGTCCTGCAGGGCCTCATGAAGAACATCTTGGAGCTTCGTTACTGCATCTACATCCTCAATATGCATGGAGTCTGAACAGAGAGGACACAAAACTTCAGAACATATTTCGAAAGAAAACACATTGTCACTTCATAGGAGAATATGCATGCAATGCTTATGGAAATTAAGAATGTTTTTTTCCTTCTTCTTATACATAGATGGTTCAGTACAAAATTATTTCAATTCAGAAAAAGATGCTGTTCTTAAATCCAAGATAGTGTTTTGAAATTACTTAATTTATTAAAACACTATCTAAAGTACCCTGGGCCCATGTAAGAAGCCAATTACCCCTTTGTTTCACCATTGTTTAGAACAGCTACCATTAAATATTTATACTAAGAAGCATTGCATTGAGTGTTTTACACGGTGTTGTAGAATTTTGACCATTTGACTTTATTCATTTCCACAGGGATTAATACTTGGACCTGTTCCTTCCTAGTGAAACATTTTCCCTCAGAATTTTCTAGAGAGACAAGAATTATTATTATTTTTTTTTATTACAGCTATTATCCAACTTCTAGAGTTCTAAATATTGCCAGAAACCATAATTTTGCTACCAACCACCATGTTTGATTATAAAAATTATAAACCATATTTAAATTGAGACACTTGGTATTATCATTTCACAGAATATGTAGCAAAAGTTGCGTGGTAAAGTAATGTCTCTTGGTAAATGTGAAATGAGGAAATTGTATTCTTTTGATGTTTGATGCTCTATGTCTGGAATCTTTTCCATTGACGCGATTTATGAACAATTTATGAGCGATTTATGTTTTTTTATGGTTCAATCATCAAAAGAGAATGGATTTTTGTTTTTTGCTTGATGAATAAAAATTGTTTAAAAAGATATTTAAAATATCGGTTAAAATGTGACGAATGACATACAATTCTAAAAAAACAAGCACAGAATAAACCATCAATTGGTCAAATTTCCCACAAAGTTGATGACCTGTTCAGAGGCAAGATACAAGTCTTTGACTGAGCTATGGTTAACTGGGAGTTTGAGTAAATGTAATATAACTTCCTGGTTTCATTGACTTTTACTAAAGAAAAGGAAAAAAAAAATTTGCAAGTGTGTAAATCGTGTAGTAGCCTTTCTTCAGCCAGCTGAACACCAGTGTGCATCAATAGGTGGGGGCTTGGAAAGTCTTCATATGCACGGTTAATTTGTGGAAGTTGCCACTGGAATCAAATTAAAAGCTTCAAACTGTAAAATGGCAGAAAATTTGATTGTCTTAAAAAACAAATCTGCTCTGTCCGATGTGTCATTAAGTGTGGTCACCAGAAAGAAAAGATCGAAATATTTAATCTGAAATCCTGAGATTTTGGATAAAAAAAAAAACTAATACATATGAAAACTAAACATGGTTTATCTGTTTTAATGTTTGCAGACATATGGCGAAACTGAAGTAGATATATTTGTCTAATAGATTAGTTAACATTGATACATTTATTCAAAAGGCATATTTTTTGTTGCATAGGAACAAGTATTAACAGTGACCCTTTTTTAGCTTTAAAAGTAACATTTGTACTTCTTCTTTTTTACTTGTTGTAGTTTTACTACCACATAAATCCAGTCACTTTTCTCAATGTCTCTGAAAGGTGCATCTGTGGGTGTGATGAATGGACAGGTGAAAAGATGAGTGGGAAGACAAAGAGGAGAGATTCTTGAAAAAATGGAGATAATAATATCAAACATAGTTTCAGTGTGTGTGTGTGTGCAATATGTAGCCATATGTAGCTACACACACCTGTAGTCTCTCCTTGACTTGGAATGTTTCTGCCGTGTTTCTGCTTGCAGCAGTAAAGCACGAGAATCTCTCTCAGTAATAATACTCCTTATTGCCCCTCAGAGGCCAGGTCCTAATGTGGGCTGGCCTTCAACTCCCAAACTACGATCGATGTCATCGATCAATGATTACATGCATGTTAAATAATAATCACAAGGCAGCTATCAATGACCACCTAGACTGCGCTTTTACCACATGCACCTTCCTTCACATATTACAATGTTTTTCATGTCCATTGGTGCACATACAATAATATATAAAAAAAAAAACATTCTAATCTAATTAAAGATTGTTATTCATCAAATTCAAACATCCTCAAAGCTGTCACTTATTCCTAGAGGAGATATAAACTAAAGGAACCTGGTTACATACATTAAAAACCAGGAGACACGAACAAAAATGATAAAGCTCAGACAGACAAAATGAGTCAACATTTACACAAAGATTTACTCATCAACACACACAAACACAATCAGATACCCAATGCTGAATCTATGGAGGGTAATACATTTATCGGTATGCAGGAGGAGAGCAGTCAGCGGGCTGACTTATGAGGAATCAATAGAAAGCTCAGTCTATCATATTTCTGGATTGATATCAGCTGTTGTGTTTCTATGTATTTTAATTCTTAGCAGTTAAATGATTGTATGCTGGCTAGGTAGATATAAAGAAATAAGGAGGATAAATGTATTTAAAAAAATGAGTGAGGTAAATTCATGCTCCTCATTTTCTTTTAATGTAAAGCTATAAAGAAAATGTTTATTTATTTTTGCTGGATAATTTTAGGGCAACTATAAAGTAAATGTATTTATTAACTTTTCATAGCCTCTGTTGACAAGACAGAAGGTGAAGTGTAATATTGATAGAAGCATTTAGAAAACAAAAAAAAAAAGATATAAAGTTAAAGTCACTGTCTTTCCATATGTCCAGCTAATGCTGCTCACCAGGGTGGAGTTTTATAAACATTTAATGAGTTTCACATTATTTTTATTAGTGAAGGATTTAAGCTGATAGACATGGCATCTGCCGGTGCCCTGACCTGCTGTACACCCACAGGTAAAACAGTAGACGTTAATGAGCACAAGCACATGTTAAAGTGTACATGCTAACATGGCACTAACACACATATAAATGAGGGAAAACACAAATGAATGAACACATTAAACTACAACACACAGGTGTTTCCTGCTTCTTGTGGCCGGTTCAGCTCTCTTTATATGTTGGGCACGTTTGCTAACATTTCTTAAGGCTTGGCTTCATTAATGCAGACGATTAGCATCCTGTGAATTAATTAGTGTCAATGCCCTTCAAAATGCTAATGCTAGCATTCTGTTGTGCTGGCGTGCAGTTAGTCTGGGTAAAGATACAAAGTTCTTACTGTAAATGGACGGAAGTCATGTCAATTTAAATAACTCCCTGCAGAGTGCAGAGGCCTGTCATTACAATCAGGCTACGGTTCTACTTGACTTTAGCTGCTGATGATTTTCCAGGACTTCTTCAATTTGAATTTGCTATTTCGAATGTTACAACACGGTGATAATCAGATGTTTTGCAAGAGTAAATCACATGATTGAAAAAGGACGACGCTCCAAATCAACACAAGACAGTTTGGTAAAAATTTGTAATGCAGAAACCTAGACTCAATGCCTAAATGAAAAAACCCTGTGCATACAATGCCATTCAAAACTTTTAAAACCTTGAGCTTCATATTAACAATATGAAAAAAAATAAATCAATTATGAACAAATTAGAGCTATGCTTTCCTAAGCTATTGAATACTGCCTTTTGCTCTAATTTCATTAGCATGGCCGTTAAAATATCTACCTACTGTTACAACATGCCTGTTTAGATGGAGGGCTTATTAAAGCCAGGCTTACAGTGCCAGGAGGGTAACTTTTTACCAATTTGCATATAGACAAAAATCTATTTTTTTATTTGTTTCTTGATGTAATCTTGTTAATATTATGCAATCTGCTTACATATTTATGTAAATTAATTGTATCTATTTGTCTAGTAAAGTCCCTGTTGATGACATTTGTGACTTGGTGATATATTACATAATAATCTGGACTGCAGTTATAAACACAATCCTGCAATGATCCTTATCTTCATCACCAACTACCTTTTCGGGGAAAACCCATCGATTTTTTAAGATAAATTGATGAATTAATTACAAAGGTTTGTAAACCAAAATAAATGCAGAGTGGGCATGGAAACATAAGCACACAAAGTGGTGCAGGTGGAAAAAAAAAAACCTCACAGTCTACAGAAAAAAGAAAAACACATCAATATTTTCTGCATAAGAAAACCAGGATCTAGACTCTATATCTAAATTATTTAAAATAACTTTTCAAGGCATTCAGTATCAGAGAGATAGATTAGTGACACCATATTTGTGTGTTGATGTTTAATTTGTTTGTGAGCACAGATGATGACAGAAACTAAAAAGGCCCTGCCTCCCCCATTAAAAGCCCCTGCAGTACATTCTTCCATTTAAACACATCGTATTGACAGATTCCCCCTTGTAATTAAAGAGTACTGAAGAGTTGGCCAGCTTCCAAGACAAAGTTCAAAAGACGGGTCATGAGAGGAGGAAGGTGTGTGTGTGAGGGAGTGCGTGTTCGTCAGTCAGCTGTCGATGCAGCTGGACACATCAGAGACGGGCCTTTATCGACATATTCGGGAGCCTAATGATTTTACTTTATTTAACAGGCATCTGAAGAGACGACTATGCTAATTATAAAAAGGGATTGCCACATTGTTGGGGGGTTGAATTCAGATTGAACAGGCCTGTGTGTGTTTGCATTGTGCCTCTTGAGTCTATGCATTAAATATGTGTGGGCACACACTTGTGACAGTTGGAGTATGACAAAAAAATGTGGGCAGCAGTCACAGTTAAAGTGGCAAACCTGAGTACAAAAACAAGCCGCCCCTTACATGTAAGCGAACTTCATCAAACATGCACAGCAGTGTTGTATGTTTGTATGCATGCTATTGAAATCAGGCTCTGGTGTTTCATCCTAAATGAGCCCCACGGGAATAGACTCAATTCCTGGGATTTACTCTCTCTCAGCAGACAGACACAAGTGTGCGGAGAGAGAAAAACAGTTAAGAGAGAGCTTATTCAAACCTGAGTTAGCCAGAGCGATGGCTTTGAGAGTCACAAATTCTTCCTTCTCCAGCTTCATAGACTTATATTTCTTGACCAGCTGAAGAATGGCGTTGTTCAGATCCAGAAGGCCTGCAAGTTTTGACTGGTCTTCATCCATTATGTAGTCCTCAGCATAAACCAGCTTAAAAAGTAGCACGAAACAACAAGATAAATTAGATTTGAATCTGCATATTTTGTGATAAGAACATTTTCTGGGCCTTCCTACTTTGTCTTCAAAGGAGAGGGAGCGGTACACAACACGCAAAATCAATATCTCCATCCATGCACTCTGCAGTAGACTCATCTGGTCTGCCAAAGACAGTGTGGAGAAACCTGGAGAGAAGCGAAACAGGTAAAAAAAAACATTAGGTTGGGTATTTTCTTTTTTTTTCTTTTTAATTCAGAAAGAGTTATACGTGCCCAATTACCAAATGCAGAGCAGATGCCTATTTAAATGAAGGTATTTTAACATATCATCTATTATTATTATGGAAACAGCTTCATTGATTTAACTATGCATGTGAACATTTTTGCTATCAATTGAATTAAATATGGGCAAAATAATTGAAAATGCAGCCCAGTGGACTTGTTTGACATAGAGCTAAAGTAGTAGAAGAAAACTCGGGAGAAGATAAGTAAAGTCCCCTGGAGAGGTGTTGAAAACTAAAAAAGGCTCAGACATTTCAAAACAAATGAACAATGTTTTGGCTTTTTGCCATCTTGAATTTGAATTAAATAGATTTTATTATGAAAACATATTGTAAAACTTTTTTAAAAAAGGACAATTTTTAAGGACATTTAATCCTGATCACCAACTATTCATTAGTAATACTGTTATAGGCTTTAATTAGACGCAGAGATTACTTTAGTAATAAAAAGTTAAACTACAGAGTAAAGAAGTTAACTAAAAGACAAGATAAAAGGGTCAAGCTCAAACTCCCTCTTATCCTTTTGTTTCACCCTTCATCCATTTACTTGACCAGAATCCTCTTCCTAGTACTCCTCCACTCTCCTGTCCCTCCGCTCAGGGCTTTTCCCTGGGGATGGTAAGCCTTATCTCAGCCTGCCACAGCCTCCACGGATCAATGCTGCCCATTGCTGCGGCGCTGCTCAAAACACACACTAATTGCTGCTACGGCCTTAAAACTGCTAGTTTCTTTAGTGTTCAATCCATGTCCTTTCATTTGGAGATCAGTCTTTTTCTCCAGAGCCAGTATCTGAATTTGTCTTTCTATGACTGATCATTTGCTTGTCTTTTTCTTGATCCATCTAGGTGCATCTCATGTATTTAAATGCTTCACATTTCTTTCACTGTTGTGGTTAAAATCACGTTGAATTTCTTTTAAGCATAATTTTAATAATGGGTTTACTTTAGCGTGATGAACTCTTATTTATCGGTCTATCTATTATGTTTCTCTTTAATGGAACACCTGCCTACTCACACCTCTTCTCACAGCTGTCCCTTCCTCAAACACCTGTCCATTCACACCTGCCTGTCTGCCTACATGGCTGTGTTTTGGGGAGTGCAAACCTTCACAGAGACTTCAGTGACAGTGCAACCTGTCAAACCTCATTGCAGAGCCACTTCCCTGTGTTTGTTCATTTGTGTGTGTGTTAATGTATGTTTGAATGGAGAACCATGCCAAGAAAACAGGCAGATATGCAGGCAGGTATGACTCCTGAGATGCCTGAGGTAGAGTTTTTGGATGTGTATT